GTGCAAACTCATACAACAGTTTTAACACGACAAGTTTTCTCTTACTTTTCTCAAAATTTCTCAAAAAACATTTCATTTTTTCTTTTCAGCCAAAAGCCAAACATGAGTACTAGTCCTCATCGTAAGCTCCATGTTCTGTTCTTCCCTATGATGGCTCATGGCCACATGATTCCAGCTCTAGACATGGCTAAGCTTTTTTCAAGCAGAGGAGCTAAATCCACAATCCTCACCACACCTCTCAACTCCAAGATCCTTCAAAAACCAATCGACGCATTCAAGAACCTGAATCCGAGTCTAGAAATCGACATGGAAATCTTCAATTTCCCTTGCGCGCAGCTCGGGTTACCGGAAGGATGCGAAAACGTCGATTTCTTCACTTCAAACAACAACAACGATGGAGGCTACATGATCTTTAAATTCTTTAAAACGACAAGGTTTTTCAAAGAACAGCTTGAGAAGCTCCTCGAGACAACGAGACCGGACTGTCTTATCGCCGATATGTTCTTCCCATGGGCTACTGAAGCTGCTGAGAAGTTCCATGTGCCAAGATTTGTGTTCCACGGCACTGGCTACTTCTCTTTATGCACTGGTTATTGCATCAGAGTGAATCAACCACAAAAGAGAATAGCTTCGAGTTGCGAGCCATTTGTGATTCCTGATCTCCCTGGGGACATTGTACTAACTCAAGATCAGATCATAGATGGCGACGACGAAACCGAGATGGGGAAATTTATGATTGAAGTGAGAGAATCAGAAGTGAAGAGCTCAGGTGTTATTGTGAACAGCTTCTACGAGCTTGAACCTGATTACGCCGATTTTTACAAGAGATTTGTAGCGAAAAGAGCGTGGAATATCGGTCCGCTCTCTGTTTTAAACAGAGGATTTGAGGATAAGGCTGAGAGAGGAAAGAAAACGAGCATTGACGAAGTCGAATGCCTCGAATGGCTTGACTCCAAGAAACCAGAATCAGTCATTTACATTTCATTTGGGAGTATGGCGAGCTTCAAGAACGAACAGTTAATCGAGATCGCTGCAGGGTTAGAAGCTTCTGGCACAAATTTCATTTGGGTTGTGAGGAAAAATGATGAAAACACAGGTGAGAATTGCAGCATATATATAACATAATTGTGTTTTGGATTTGCTCTGTTTTTACTCTGAAACATAATTTTGGTGTGAATAGGTGAAGAAGAAGAATGGTTACCAAAAGGGTTCGAAGAGAGGATGAAAGGGAAAGGGATGATCATAAGAGGATGGGCTCCACAGATGCTGATACTTGACCACCAAGCAACCGGTGGGTTCGTGACTCATTGCGGCTGGAACTCGATTCTTGAAGGAGTGGCTGCAGGGTTACCGATGGTGACTTGGCCGGTTGCAGCGGAGCAATTCTACAACGAGAAGTTGGTTACGGAAGTGCTTAGAATAGGAGTGCGCGTGGGAGAGATGAGGCGTTTGAAAGTTATGGAAGGTCTCATCAGCAGAGAGGAAGTAGAGACGGCATTGAGAGAGGTGTTTGTTGGAGAAGAGGCGGAAGAGAGGCGAGGACGGGCAAAGAAACTGGCGGTGATGGCTAAAGCCGCCGTGGAAGAAGGAGGGTCTTCTTTCAACGATCTAAACAGTTTCATAGAAGAGTTTAGCTCATGAGTAACAAGAATCCAACATCGGAAATGAGATGGAATCTAGTGTAATGTATAAGAGATATGAGTCAACCCGACTCACTTAAAAATCGATGAAATTTAACTAGGTATGATATCATCATAAGATCAATTTCGAGCTACATCGATACCACTTCAGAGGTGTTATTTCTAACAAATTCGAAGATTTGACATTTTCAACTTGTGCAAGCTCATATGAATTTGAATTTGTATCTAGAAGCTTTTAATAACTTTAAGACTCGGTCTTTTTTTTTTTAGTTCTTGATGAATCCACATCAAATGCTGGAACATGTTGTCGACTCTTTATTATATTTGTCTAAGATTGACCATTAGTAACATAGTTTAAGAAGTATGTACTAAAACGACTTTATATCATGAGTCTTGACAAAAACATTGAATGGTCGTACACATGCTTCTTGACAAAGACAAGAATGGTGACAAAATAAAATCAATAACTTATGAATTCACTCACTCAGATTTAACCATGTAATCTCTATAAAGGCACAAGACACAAGACATTGGATTTTCGT